GAGCATGCTTCTCGATTCACTCTCTTAACTTCTTAACCCCGCCCCCAATGAGGAGACCCCCTGAGTAGACATTGTCTTATGACCTTGACCTTCTGGAAACCACCCCTTTCTCCCCCAGGTACCCCACACCCTTCCTCTGACACGTGGTGGGACTCTGCGGCAAACAGACTCGTTTTGGGGGCACACGGGAACAATCCCTTGGTCCGCTAAACCTTATGTGAGAGACAGGTCCAGAAGTCACAAGGGCTAAACTACAAAACAAGTGACTCTCATACAAGGAAATATAGGGACTGTGGCAGATGAGCGAAGGAAAGACTTATGAACAAGGCAGACAAAAAGTAGTTGGATCTTCCCTAAAACAGTACGAGAGAGGCCGCTTTCTCGTGGTTTGGTGCAATAAGGCATCGTGATAAAATCAGGCTCATACAGTTTTAAAACCAGAAGGTACGTCATTTCCTTTCCTTCAGCCTCGTACCTGAGTAGACCCCCCTACTGCACCTGTCAGATGCTCTCCTAATCTCTGTCGCACACTGCCTGGTGCTCCCTCACAGTGCCTGGTCCCCTTTTGGAGATGAATAGAATTTTCCTCTTAGAGGAGAAACCTGCCTCCATTGTCAATGTCCCCCCGCCCCCCCTTCTGCCTGCTAAGATTGACACATGCCACCTTCCTTCAGATCTGCGCTGCGTCCTCCAGCCTTATCCTCTCAGTCCTGTTAATATTTCGTCTTAGGCTATGATCAGTTTAGCATCTCCATCTTTTCTGACGCACCCCGGACACTTTATTCTTTGTTAATATCTGCCTCAAAACCTCTCCCTCAGCGGGACACATGGCTCCTCCTGCAGCCCGACCCATTCAGAAGACGGTTCAGGAGAACCACAGTGCTGCGTCTCGGCTAATGTAACCTGAGATTGATTGACTTTCTGTGTCAGGCCCTTTGCTTCATTTGGGTGGCACTGATAAACAAGCCAGTAAAAACGCCAGATGATTTTAAACTGAAACACTTCAATTCAGGGCAACTCCTGCCTCCTGCGATTTTCTCTTTGAATCATCTCTTCTTGAAAAAAACATGCATTCAAGATTTTGCAACGCCATTCTCTGTGTTGGTTTGGGGGCAGGCTTCCAGCCCGCGGAGGTCGGTGTATGTCTTGACGGTGGGATGGCAACATTATATGTGGTGATCGCAGAGGCTGTGGACTTTTCTGGAATAGGCTACTTCCCCCCTGTGGCCAAAAGAGTCACTTTTTGGTCTTGGCTGCACGGCAATTGAGTAAACTTGGGCAAGTCATCTGATGCTCAGTTTCCTAATAGTTTAATTGAAATGTTAAGACCTGTCTTGATCCCATCACAGGGAATTTAGGAGAACAATTAAAATAATAGACATAAAAGACCTTAGACGAGCTGCACAGAGGACCTCAGGCTGATGATGTTCATCACTGATATCATCGTCACTGTCGCCATCGTCTTTATCACATCGACAGGTCGAGTCCCATATTTTCTGAGGTTTCCAAGCCTCAGAAAAGGTCCTCGAAAGCAGAAACGGTGTCAGAGAATCTGAGTGGCTTTAGCCAGAGTATAACTTCCCAGAGTGAAGGCCAGCGGGTGGGAGAGGATGATGAGAAAAAAACGCTCTTCTCTGGGCTTAAGGAAAGGAAGGGAGAGAAGACAGGAAGTTGTCTTGGTATATTCTGATGATGTGCAAATGGGTGGTTTTCCTAAGGAGCACCCCCTCCCCCCCCCAAAAAAAAGAAACCCACTGAATGAAAAGAAAAACGTGCCAACATTATTTTTGTGTACCAGAAACAACCTGAATAGCAAACTAACCATGAAAAACCATTTTCGATTCCATGGAAATCAGTAAAATGCAAATGTAAACCCATTAAGACATCCTTATTTATGCCCATAAGGATGATGAAAAATTAAGAGTCTAATATCACCGAGTACAGGTGAAGAATCTGGCTGGTGTCAGCGTAAGTTAGCACAACCCTCTTGGTGCCGTATCTGCCAATGGAAGCTGTGTACCCCGGATGTTTGTTGCACGGGCGATATACAGTAGGTGGGGATTATTTTACAGCATCGTTTGTAGTAGCAAGGATATATTTTGAAACAGCTTAAATGTTTATTAGTAAATAATTGGATAAAATGTCAAGTAAATGATGTCATTTATGTCAAAACTTAAAATACAAAAACAGTACTAGATGTTTTCTATAGATACGTGTGTGTGTGGAATTAAAAATACATAAATGAGAGTGACACATACAAATATCACAATATCAGCTGCCTCGAAGGACAGAGTAAGAGAGAACGAGACCGAGGAGTTGGAAAAAAATCAATCGAATTCCATATGGACTGTTTTAACTTTTTCAAACAGAAAAGCCGCAGTAAAAATGTCAACATTCTTACATGTGTTCGTCGCAGATGGTAGGGTTTTGCTTTATAACTCTATGTATTCTTCCACTTAAAAACTTTGTTTCATAACTGCGTAATATTTTAAACCGAACAAATAAAACACAGTCTCGTGTTCATTCCAGGTGCATGTCGTATGCCCGCCTTTTCTAACGCCAAGAAGAGTGACACAATATGGTGTCTCATTTATGAACAATAGATGCCAGTGATTGTGCTAATTTCTGATTAAATCTACTGGAATACAAAGATGGTGATTATTGGGAGGACCTCAGAGCTAGCCAAAGAAAACATTCGCTTAAACAGAGCAGGGATTGAGTTTCTCTTGAATTTGTCCTGAATATTGATTCTTCCTCTTCAGTCATGGGACCGTCTTCTTTTCATCAACTGCTTTCGGGGCTGATGACAAACTTGCTAGAGTAGGGAAAAAATGGCCCTGCCATAAATGACTTAGGCTTGTTTGAGGTACCGGGAATTTCCAGTCCCAGAAAAGATGGATATTCCAGTGGCCAATGTACCTTTCAATGGGAGGATGGGGTTGGGGACAAG